TCACCCGCACAAGAGAGACCCATTCTCTCCGGAAAATGGGTATTCCGGATCAAATCCAACTCCGACGGAACCATCGAACGATTTAAAGCTCGATGGGTCGTCCGCGGATTCGACCAAGAGTATGGTCGCGACTTCACTGAAACTTTTGCACCAGTCAGTCGACATACTTCCCTGCGTATACTCCTCGCCATCGCCGCCTCACGTCGCCGCCCACTCCGACAAATCGACGTCGCCAACGCTTTTCTGTACGCCCCAGTCGACGCTGAAATCTTCGTCGAACAGCCCCACGGGTTCGTCGACGACCCTTCCCTCGTCTGCCAACTACTTAAATCACTATACGGAATTAAGCAGGCACCGCGACTCTGACAGCAGTACCTGCACGCACGACTTAAACGCATCGGATTCAACCAACTGCCCCATGACCAGGGCATGTATCGCCTCACTCACGACAACGACTACGTCTTGCTAATCGTCTACGTCGACGACTTACTTTACAATGGATCAACTACCACTATCGTCACTTGGTTCGAAAGGGAGCTTCAGACAGATCTCTCCCTCACAGTCTCACCCAACGTCACGCAGTACCTAGGGCTCAACATCCTCGACGAAGACAACGCCATTCGTCTCAGCGCCTCAAAATACGCAAGCACTATCGCCGAACGCTTCTGCATCACACCGACGCACGTCGCAACACCCTACAGTCACCTATCGCTCGATCCAACCGAAGAAACCAACCCACTGCCGTCTGCTGGAATCCAGGAATATCAACAGAAACTGGGCTGCCTACTCTTTGCCGCCGTTACGTGCCGACCGGACTTATCCTACAGCGCCAGTCAACTAGCGACCTACCTCAAGCGCCCAGAACAACGTCACCTCAAGGAACTCAACCGTGCCCTTCTCTACTTCATCTCGACGCCAACAGTTGGCTTAACGTATCACAAGAGCACGACGACCGACCTAAAACTACTCGGCTACGTCGACGCTGATCATGCTGCTGATCGTGTCGATCGTCGCTCTCGCACCGGCTACATCTACCGTCTCGAGCCCGTCGGAACTATCTCCTGGCAATCAAGTAAGCTGGAACTCGTCGCACTATCATCTGCTGAAGCAGAGTATATTGCTCTCTGCACCGCTACCAAGGAAGGTCTGTACCTGCGCGAACTGCTGGAAGAAGCGAAAATTGCGAAAGTACCCAGCTTCTCGCTTTTCTGCGACAACCAGTCCGCGATACGGATCGCGAACAAGAATGGCTTCGCCAACAGAACCAAGCATATCGCACTGCGATACTTCTTCGTGAAAGACGAAATTGAGAAGGGAAAACTCCAGCTGGACTACTGCCCGACCACCGAGATGGCAGCAGATTATCTCACCAAGAAGCTACCAACGGGGAAATTCGAGTACTGCATGCTGCTCATCGGATTGGGCCACGTCACCGAAGCTAACCACGTCGACACTCCAGAAACGAAGGGGAGTGTTGGGAATATAAACGCATGACTTAGTGCGTTTCTGTAGTATCGAACCTCACTCGATACTGAAGCACAACAAAAGGGGTATGAAGTCGAAAAGGCGCGTACCACATCAAACCGCAACTGGAGGTTGCGAGCTGTAACCGCCTGGAGGTTACGTAACAGCAAGCGACGCTTCAGTGAACAGTAACCGCCTCGATAGTCGAAGCGTTACGCGTCTCGATAAACATAACCGCTTCCTGTAATCTATCTTTCCTATATATTCCTGTATGCTCTTTGCTTTAATCAATTACGGTACTTGTTCTCACATACCAGCACAAGTACATTCACTCAAAAGACTTCCGCTGTGCTACTCTAGCACCTACTAGCCTATTCTCTGCAAAGATCCTAAGGCTGAAATCCTCAGCCCAACACTTGATACGAGGTTTCCTGATATGAGGCCGTAGGAACACGCCCAAGTAATACATACCGGTAGCATTCTACAACATAGTCGTCAAAACCATAATGCATCTCATATCATTGTAGCTCCAATGGAGGATCTTCAGTGCCCCATCTGAGATCCCTCTCTTGTGTAACGTTCTTTATAAGAGCTCGATGCTGGAGAATGTCACTTTCAAAACCTCTTCTCCCCCCACAAACCACAGTGCCTCCAATGAAATAATCCGCTTGTGCACAAACCAGCTTATCCAAAATTGCCAGCAGTCCTGCACGCACTCAAACCACACAGAGGTACACATCAGACCAAACTCGTGGAAATGCCAATAGAGATACAACAGCTTTCCCTCGGTGCACTATCGAGTGAAACAACATGCCTGTTGAGTGATTCTTGCAGCTGAAACCTGCTGATAGAATCACAGCAAGAAAGGAAGGCTCAGCTCACATGCAGCATGCAGCATGCAGTATGCAGCATGCAGCATGCAGCATGCAGCATGCAGTATGCAGTATGCAGTATGCAGGATGCAGTATGCAACATGCAGCAGCATGCCCAAGCAGAAGACAAAAGCAACAACCAGGACACATGGATTTTGAGTTTCAAGACGTCTCAAATCTTTGAGCTTCATATTTGAGTTGACTCAAGTGTGTTTTGAGTCGACTCACTCAAAATACACCTCGACTCAACAGCAAAGGCAGCATCTCAGCAAGCAAGCCCATGACACCCACCAGGGTCGTATGAACCGGCCTCTGGGAGCAGCTCCTCTAACATCACCGTCCCCTCAAGAAAGGTTGGTGTTGAGATGAGACGTCTCAGAACCAACCATATTTCAGGTGGCTTTTTGAGGTCTCAGCATGCACGCCAAAGGCACGGCACTCACCAGGGTCGTATGAACCGGCTTCTGGGAGCAGCTCCTCTATCATCACCACCGTCCCATTTTGAGAAATGAAGAAACTCAGAGTTGTGAGACGTTTAAAATCTCATTCTCTCAGCATGCACGCCAAAGGCACTCACCAGGGTCGTATGAACCGGCTTCTGGAAGCAGCTCCTCTATCATCACCGTCCCCTTTATAGACCGCCTCATCAACTGCAACCCCTGCACTGCCGCATCCACAAGCCTCTCTCGCTCATTTCCCACGCCTCCATATGCACTTATGGTGCTGGCCCAGGAGGCAGAGTGTATGGTGCCATTAGACATGGCCAGGGTGGAAGACCCATGGTCCAAAGGGCCACCTGGGGAAGGGGCTTTCACAGAAGAGCCTTCCAAGGAGGCGGTATCTGGGGAAGGGCTATCTGGAAGATGACTCGTTTTCAAATGACTATCCAGGGAGGGGTAGGTAGGAGAAGGGACGGGTGCAGTGGAAGGAACGTCGGCTGCGATGTAGACGGATGCGGTGATGCTGCTGGCGCTGCTGTTGGCACTGCTGTTGGTGCTGCTGCTGGCACTGCTGTTGGCACTGCTGTTGGCACTGCTGTTGGCACTGCTGTTGGTGCTGCTGTTGGCACTGCTGTTGGTGCTGCTGTTAGCACTGCAGTTGCGCTGAGCCTGCAGGATGGTGTGAACCGCCTGCTCCGCACACCACCGCATCAGCTGCACACCCTTCCCCACGTCGCTCTGCCCGTACGGCGCCTTTGCAATCGTCTTTGCCTGCGAGAGTGGGATGACACGGTTGGGTGTGGATCACGGCAGGGGGAAGGACAGATCACATTATGCCTTCAGCTGCACGCCCTTCCCCATGCCGCTCTGCCCGTACGGCACCTTGACAATCGTCTTTGCCTGCGAGAGTGGGATGACACGGTTGCACACCACCTCATCAGCTGCACGCCCTTCCCCACGCCGCTCTGCCCGTACGGCGCCTTGCCAATCGTCATTGCCTGTGGTGAGTCGGACGATACGGAAGGAATCAAAGCAGTGGCTTTCCATAAATACCGTTGCCTCTCCACTCCAGACAGCACAGCACACCACCACGTGTGATGAGACGACCATTTAGTTGACTCGAAAATCGTCTCATCACATACGGAAGGGATCAAGGCAGCGGCTTTCTATGAACAATCTTAGCTCTCCAGACCGCACAGCACACCACCACTCAATGTGTGCGAGTCAAGTGTTGAGGCGCCTCAAAAATGAACCATCTTAGCTCTCCAGACAGCACACCACCACTCAATGTGCGAGTCATTCAGACCAGAAAAGACGCCACTCACCACCACTCCTCACCATCACCCACCATTTCTCACCACCCACCACCCCTCTATGCAATCCACTAGGAGCGGTAATGCACAGTTTTGAATCGATCACTCACCACTCACCACTCTGTGCACGATCCACTCGGAGAGGTAATGCACAGCAATGAGGGGTTTGGGCAGGCGGGGAACGATATGCTGTGCTGTGCCCTGCTTCAACAGCATTTATCATCGCTCTAACAACCACTCACTCACCATTCACCACCCCCCATCACCAGTCACCACCACTCACCACTCTGTAGGCGATCCACTCGGAGCGGTAATGCACGGCAATGAGGGGCTTGGGCAGGCTGGCAACAATGCGCTGTGCAGTGCGGTGCAGAGGGGTGCTGTAGGGCAGGTGGTGCAGCGCAATGCGGTCTGAGGGGATGGGGAACTCCACTCGCGACGGCCCATGCTTCACCCACACAATGACGTCCTTGTCCCTCCTGCATTAACGCAGGGGTCGGGCCAGGGAGGGAGTGTGAGGGGATGGGGAAGACCACTCGCGACGGCCCATGCTTCACCCATATAATGACGTCCTTGTCCCTCCTGGATGAACCAGGGGTTGGTTGGAATCACAGAGAGAGGGAGACACGTGGGAGTGGCGTGAGTGAGTGTATGGGAGCAGAGAGCAGGCCAGGGAGTGGAGGGGATGGGGAAGTGCACTCGCGACGGCCCATGCTTCACCCATATAATGACGTCCTTGTCCCTCCTGGATGAACCAGGGGTTGGTTGGAATCACAGAGAAAGGGAGACACGTGGGAGTGGCGTGAGTGAGTGTATGGAGCAGAGAGCAGGCCAGGGAGTGGAGGGGATGGGGAAGTCCACTCGCGACGGCCCATGCTTCATCCATATAATGACGTCCTTGTCCCTCCTGCATGCACGCAGGGGTTGGGTTTATATCGCAGAGAGAGAGTCACAAGTGGGAGTGGCGTGAGAGAGTGTATGGGAGAAGAGAGCAAGCCAGGGAGTCTGAGCAAGCCAGGGAGTCTGAGGGGATGGGGAAGTCCACCCAAGAAAGGCGGTGCTTCACCCACACAATCACGTCCTTATCCCACCTGGATGATTCACAGGTTGCAAGTTGCACAAGACGCGTAAGAGAGAGTAGAGTAGAGGAAGGGCAATACGGTCTGAGGGGATGGGGATGGGGATGGGGATGGGGATCGGGATTGGGATGGGGATGGGGATGGGGATGGGATGGGGATGGGGATGGGGATGGGAATGGGGATGGGGATGGGAATGGGAATAGGGATGGGAATGGGGATGGGGATGGGGATGGGAATGGGGATGGGGATGGGGATGGGAATGGGGATGGGGATGGGGATGGGAATCGGAATAGGGATGGGAATGGGGATGGGGATGGGAATGGGAATGGGGATGGGGATGGGGATGGGAATGGGGATGGGGATGGGGATGGGGATGGGAATGGGGATGGGGATGGGGATGGGAATGGGAATGGGGATGGGGATGGGAATGGGGATGGGGATGGGGATGGGAATGGGAATAGGGATGGGAATGGGGATGGGGATGGGGATGGGAATGGGGATGGGGATGGGGATGGGGATAGGAATGGGAATGGGGATGGGGATGGGAATGGGGATGGGGATGGGGATGGGAATGGGAATGGGGATGGGGATGGGGATGGGAATGGGGATGGGGATGGGGATGGGGATGGGAATGGGAATGGGGATGGGGATGGGAATGGGAATGGGGATGGGGATGGGGATGGGGATGGGGATGGGATGGGGATGAGGATGGGGATGGGAATGGGAATGGGGATGGGGATGGGGATGGGAATGGGGATGGGAATGGGGATGGGGATGGGGATGGGGATGGGGATGGGGATGGGAATGGGAATGGGGATGGGGATGGGGATGGGGATGGAGATGGGAATGGGAATGGGAATGGGGATGGGGATGGGGATGCGAATGGGAATGGGAATGGGAATGGGGATGGGGATGGGGATGGGGATGGGGATGGGATGGGGGTGAGGATGGGGATGGGAATGGGAATGGGGATGGGGATGAGGATGGGGATGGGGATGGGAATGGGGATGGGAATGGGGATGGGGATGGGGATGGGGATGGGGATGGGGATGGGGATGGGGATGGGGATGGGATGGGATGGGATGGGAATGGGGATGGGGATGGGGATGGGGATGGGATGGGGATGGGAATGGGGATGGGGATGGGATGGGGATGGGAATGGGGATGGGATGGGGATGGGAATGGGGATGGGATGGGGATGGGAATGGGAATGGGGATGGGGATGGGGATGGGGATGGGGATGGGGATGGGGATGGGATGGGGATGGGAATGGGAATGGGAATGGGAATGGGGATGGGAATGGGGATGGGGATGGGGATGGGGATGGGGATGGGGATGGGAATGGGGATGAGGATGGGGATGGGAATGGGAATGGGGATGGGGATGGGGATGGGGATGGGGATGGGAATGGGGATGGGAATGGGGATGGGGATGGGGATGGGGATGGGGATGGGGATGGGGATGGGGATGGGATGGGGATGGGAATGGGGATGGGGATGGGGATGGGGATGGGGATGGGATGGGGATGGGAATGGGGATGGGGATGGGATGGAGATGGGAATGGGGATGGGATGGGGATGGGAATGGGAATGGGGATGGGGATGGGGATGGGGATGGGGATGGGATGGGGATGAGGATGGGGATGGGTATGGGAATGGGGATGGGGATGGGGATGGGGATGGGGATGGGAATGGGGATGGGAATGGGGATGGGGATGGGGATGGGGATGGGGATGGGGATGGGGATGGGGATGGGGATGGGATGGGGATGGGAATGGGGATGGGATGGGGATGGGAATGGGGATGGGATGGGGATGGGAATGGGAATGGGGATGGGGATGGGGATGGGGATGGGGATGGGGATGGGATGGGGATGGGAATGGGGATGGGAATGGGAATGGGGATGGGAATGGGGATGGGGATGGGGATGGGGATGGGGATGGGGATGGGGATGGGGATGGGGATGGGATGGGGATGAGGATGGGGATGGGAATGGGAATGGGGATGGGGATGGGGATGGGATGGGGATGGGAATGGGGATGGGAATGGGGATGGGGATGGGGATGGGGATGGGGATGGGTATGGGATGGGGATGGGAATGGGGATGGGGATGGGGATGGGGATGGGATGGGGATGGGAATGGGGATGGGGATGGGATGGGGATGGGAATGGGGATGGGATGGGGATGGGAATGGGGATGGGATGGGGATGGGAATGGGAATGGGGATGGGGATGGGGATGGGGATGGGGATGGGATGGGGATGAGGATGGGGATGGGAATGGGAATGGGATGGGGATGGGGATGGGGATGGGGATGGGGATGGGGATGGGGATGGGGATGGGAATGGGGATGGGGATGGGAATGGGTATGGGGATGGGGATGGGAATGGGAATGGGAATAGGGATGGGAATGGGGATGGGGATGGGAATGGGGATGGGGATGGGGATGGGGATGGGAATGGGGATGGGGATGGGGATGGGGATGGGGATGGGGATGGGGATGGGAATGGGGATGGGGATGGGGATGGGAATGGGAATAGGGATGGGAATGGGGATGGGGATGGGATGGGAATGGGGATGGGGATGGGGATGGGGATGGGAATGGGGATGGGAATGGGGATGGGGATGGGGATGGGAATGGGGATGGGGATGAGGATGGGAATGGGAATGGGGATGGGGATGGGGATGGGAATGGGGATGGGGATGGGGATGGGGATGGGGATGGGAATGGGAATGGGAATGGGGATGGGGATGGGAATGGGAATGGGGATGGGGATGGGGATGGGAATGGGAATGGGAATGGGGATGGGGATGGGAATGGGGATGGGGATGGGGATCGGGATGGGGATGGGGATGGGGATGGGGATGGGATGGGGATGGGGATGGGGATGGGAATGGGGATGGGGATGGGAATGGGAATAGGGATGGGGATGGGGATGGGGATGGGGATGGGAATGGGGATGGGGATGGGGATGGGAATGGGGATGGGGATGGGGATGGGAATGGGAATAGGGATGGGAATGGGGATGGGGATGGGAATGGGAATGGGGATGGGGATGGGGATGGGAATGGGGATGGGGATGGGGATGGGGATGGGAATGGGGATGGGGATGGGGATGGGAATGGGAATGGGGATGGGGATGGGAATGGGGATGGGGATGGGGATGGGAATGGGAATAGGGATGGGAATGGGGATGGGGATGGGGATGGGAATGGGGATGGGGATGGGGATGGGGATAGGAATGGGAATGGGGATGGGGATGGGAATGGGGATGGGGATGGGGATGGGAATGGGAATGGGGATGGGGATGGGGATGGGAATGGGGATGGGGATGGGGATGGGGATGGGAATGGGAATGGGGATGGGGATGGGGATGGGGATGGGGATGGGAATGGGAATGGGGATGGGGATGGGGATGGGATGGGGATGAGGATGGGGATGGGAATGGGAATGGGGATGGGGATGGGGATGGGGATGGGGATGGGAATGGGGATGGGAATGGGGATGGGGATGGGGATGGGGATGGGGATGGGAATGGGAATGGGGATGGGGATGGGGATGGGGATGGAGATGGGAATGGGAATGGGAATGGGGATGGGGATGGGGATGCGAATGGGAATGGGGATGGGAATGGGGATGGGGATGGGGATGGGGATGGGGATGGGATGGGGATGAGGATGGGGATGGGAATGGGAATGGGGATGGGGATGAGGATGGGGATGGGGATGGGAATGGGGATGGGAATGGGGATGGGGATGGGGATGGGGATGGGGATGGGGATGGGGATGGGATGGGGATGGGAATGGGGATGGGGATGGGGATGGGGATGGGATGGGGATGGGAATGGGGATGGGGATGGGATGGGGATGGGAATGGGGATGGGATGGGGATGGGAATGGGGATGGGATGGGGATGGGAATGGGAATGGGGATGGGGATGGGGATGGGGATGGGGATGGGGATGGGGATGGGATGGGGATGGGAATGGGGATGGGAATGGGAATGGGGATGGGAATGGGGATGGGGATGGGGATGGGGATGGGGATGGGATGGGGATGAGGATGGGGATGGGAATGGGAATGGGGATGGGGATGGGGATGGGGATGGGGATGGGAATGGGGATGGGAATGGGGATGGGATGGGGATGGGGATGGGGATGGGGATGGGGATGGGAATGGGAATGGGGATGGGGATGGGGATGGGGATGGAGATGGGAATGGGAATGGGAATGGGGATGGGGATGGGGATGCGAATGGGAATGGGAATGGGAATGGGGATGGGGATGGGGATGGGGATGGGGATGGGATGGGGGTGAGGATGGGGATGGGAATGGGAATGGGGATGGGGATGAGGATGGGGATGGGGATGGGAATGGGGATGGGAATGGGGATGGGGATGGGGATGGGGATGGGGATGGGTATGGGGATGGGGATGGGGATGGGATGGGGATGGGAATGGGGATGGGAATGGGGATGGGGATGGGATGGGGATGGGAATGGGGATGGGGATGGGATGGGGATGGGAATGGGGATGGGATGGGGATGGGAATGGGGATGGGATGGGGATGGGAATGGGAATGGGGATGGGGATGGGGATGGGGATGGGGATGGGGATGGGGATGGGATGGGGATGGGAATGGGGATGGGAATGGGAATGGGGATGGGAATGGGGATGGGGATGGGGATGGGGATGGGGATGGGGATGGGAATGGGGATGAGGATGGGGATGGGAATGGGAATGGGGATGGGGATGGGGATGGGGATGGGGATGGGAATGGGGATGGGAATGGGGATGGGGATGGGGATGGGGATGGGGATGGGGATGGGGATGGGGATGGGATGGGGATGGGAAATGGGGATGGGGATGGGGATGGGGATGGGATGGGGATGGGAATGGGGATGGGGATGGGATGGAGATGGGAATGGGGATGGGATGGGGATGGGAATGGGAACGGGGATGGGGATGGGGATGGGGATGGGGATGGGATGGGGATGAGGATGGGGATGGGTATGGGAATGGGGATGGGGATGGGGATGGGATGGGGATGGGAATGGGGATGGGAATGGGGATGGGGATGGGGATGGGGATGGGGATGGGGATGGGGATGGGGATGGGATGGGGATGGGAATGGGGATGGGATGGGGATGGGAATGGGGATGGGATGGGGATGGGAATGGGAATGGGATGGGGATGGGGATGGGGATGGGGATGGGGATGGGATGGGGATGGGAATGGGGATGGGAATGGGAATGGGGATGGGAATGGGGATGGGGATGGGGATGGGGATGGGGATGGGGATGGGGATGGGGATGGGGATGGGATGGGGATGAGGATGGGGATGGGAATGGGAATGGGGATGGGGATGGGGATGGGATGGGGATGGGAATGGGGATGGGAATGGGGATGGGGATGGGGATGGGGATGGGTATGGGTATGGGATGGGGATGGGAATGGGATGGGGATGGGGATGGGGATGGGATGGGGATGGGAATGGGGATGGGGATGGGATGGGGATGGGAATGGGGATGGGATGGGGATGGGAATGGGATGGGATGGGGATGGGAATGGGAATGGGGATGGGGATGGGGATGGGGATGGGATGGGATGGGGATGAGGATGGGGATGGGAATGGGGATGGGGATGGGAATGGGGATGGGGATGGGGATGGAATGGGAATGGGGATGGGGATGGGGATGGGAATGGGGATGGGGATGGGGATGGGGATAGGAATGGGAATGGGGATGGGGATGGAATGGTGGGGATGGGGATGGAATGGGAATGGGGATGGGGATGGGGATGGGAATGGGATGGGGATGGGGATGGGGATGGGAATGGGATGGGGATGGGGATGGGGATGGGGATGGGGATGGGGATGGGATGGGGATGGGGATGGGGATGGGGATGGGATGGGGATGAGGATGGGGATGGGAATGGGAATGGGGATGGGGATGGGGATGGGGATGGGGATGGGAATGGGGATGGGAATGGGGATGGGGATGGGGATGGGATGGGGATGGGGATGGGAATGGGAATGGGATGGGGATGGGGATGGGGATGGGAATGGGAATGGGAATGGGATGGGATGGGGATGGGGATGCGAATGGAATGGGGATGGGAATGGGGGGGGGAATTGGGATGGGGATGGGGATGGGATGGGGATGAGGAGGGGATGGGAATGGGAATGGGGATGGGGATGAGGATGGGGATGGGGATGGGAATGGGGATGGGATGGGGATGGGGATGGGGATGGGGATGGGGATGGGATGGGGATGGGGATGGGATGGGGATGGGAATGGGGATGGGGATGGGGATGGGGATGGGATGGGGATGGGAATGGGGATGGGGATGGGATGGGGATGGGAATGGGGATGGGATGGGGA